AGCAGTAAAAATTCTCAAGAATATTCTAGGAACTGACTAGCCAACAATGGCAAAAAGTCAAAAAGAATGAATGTACCTGGTGGAATGAGCAGCTAAGCAAAAGGAAAAAAATAAGGAAATCAGCAACAGGAAAATATTTCAATGAAAGTAAGTCAGTACCTTTTAGTAGTAAGTCAATGTGAATGGTCTCAGTTCTCCAACTGAAAGACACAGATTGGCATCTGGTTCAAGGAAAAAAATCTCAATAATAGAATACAAGAAACACATTTATTTCAAAAATAAATTCACAGATTAAAAACCAAAGAGAACAATATTTTTGGTTCCATATGAACCCAAACAAAATTGGAGTAACTATTCTAATGTCAAATAATGTAGGCTTCAAGCCAGAAGAGACGAAGGTCACTATATATCAGTTAAAGGAAAAATTCAACAGGAAGAGATAACAATTATAAATATGTATGCACCAAATATTGGCACACCCTACTTCATAAAACAAACACTAATGGACACAAGCAGAGAAACATTAATACAGTTGTAATAGAGGATCTCAATACCCAACTGTCATAAGTGGGCAGATGAACTAGATAAAAAAAAATCAATAAATAGCAGCATTGAACCAAATTTTCAAAGAAAAGGATTTGATATCAACAGTGTTCTATCTAACAACATCAGAATACACATTCTTCTCAGCAGCACATGGAATTTCTCCCAAATAGAACATGCAGTAACCCATAAAACATGCTTAAGTAAATGCAAAAGAATTTAAATTATGTCATAAGAACTTTAGGATAGTCATATTTTGTTTTACAGTTTTGGGAGACATGGCTGCATTCATGTTTGTGTGAGAAAGATGGCTGTAGTTGTGTTTGTCACCTAATGCAGACTTTTGAATGAAAGCAAAATTTTTCCATAGGCTTTTGTTTGGAACTGAATTGTCTACAAACAGAAGTGTTTATGAACTGAGGTATTTCTGTACTTCCAAAATGTTTATCCATAACCCCAATCAGGATACTAATAGTATTTCTCATGGAATTAGAGAAAATGATCCTAAAATTCATAGGAACCAGAAGAAGCCAAGAATAGCAAAAACAATTCTGGGCAACAAAGGCAAGGCAGAGGCCATCACAATCCTACACTTCAAGTTCTATTACAAAACTATAGTATATAAAAACATCATGCTATTGGCAAAAAAATGTACTTGTGTATCAATGGAACTGGATAGAGACTTCACTGAGCTGTCTTTGATAAAGGGGTCAAATATGACTTTTACTAGAGGAAGAACTAACAAATGATGCTGGGGAAGCTAAGGTTGAACATATACCCATATCTTTTACCATGCACTAAACTAAAATCAAAATGGATCAAATATCTAAATATCAAAACAGAAACGTTACTCAATACAAAATATACAAAAATAGGCAAAACTCTTGAAGACACAGACCTAGGCAAAGACTTTCTGAACAAAACCCCACTTGCAAAATAAATAATACCAAAAATCAACAAATGGGATCCTATCAAATTAAAAGCTTCTGTACAGGACAGGAATTAAAAGGCTTCTGCACTCAACTGAGTATAGAGACAACGATAGAATGGGAAAAACTTTTATCAGTGGCTCCTCAGATGAATGACTAATATCTGGAATATGTGAAGAACTCAAAAAAATTAGGCTTTACAAATTGAAAGACCCTAAATAAACTTAGTCATCTGAAATGAACAAACTCTTCTCAGTGAAGTACAAATGGCCAATAAATACATGAAGAAACTTTCAACATCTCTGAACATTTGAGATATGTAAATTAAAATAACACTGAGATTTCATGTCACTCCAGAAAGATTGGCTATTATCAAGAAATCAAATAATAACAAGCAAGGTTTGGTGGTACAGCCTGTAATCCTAGCACTCAGGAGGTTGAGGCAGGAGAATTGCCACAAATTCAAAGACAGCTGTGGCTACCTAGTGAGTTAAAGGTCAGCCTGAACTGCACAGTGAGACCCTGTCTCAAAAAACAAAAAACAAAACAAAACAAACAAACAAAAAATCAATTAACAAATGCTGGAAAGGCTTCAGGAAAAAAGAAATCATTCCTCATTTGTTGGGGGGAGTATAAACTAGTATACAAGTATTGTGGAAATCAGTATGGAGATTCCTCAAAAAGCTAGAAGAAATTCCATTTGCCTCAGATAGTCCCCTTTTAAATATCTTTCTAAGAGAGTTAAGGACATCATATTACAGTGACATGCACATGCTCATGTTTATAACAGCACAACTCATAATGCCTGTGTCTTGGAAGGAGCCTCTAATTGTCCGCAGATGAATGTATAAAGAAAATATGGCATTTATACACAGTGAAGTACTACTTTGCCACAAAGGATAAACTTAAGTCATTTGTAAGAAAATGGGTGCACCTAGACATCGTAATCTAAGTAATCATCGTAACTAAGTAAATTAGGCACACAAGTTTAAATATTGCATAATTTCTCTTATATGAGAAACTCAATATATAAAATGCAAAATAAAAGACAGATAGTAGGAAAAAGAAAAGGAAAAAAGATTATTATAATCCAGCACAGCCAATACATCTAAAAGAACCTTTTTAGAGTAATTGTTTTATATGTTTTTTGGCTTGTTAGTGTGATTGTTAATCTGTGTTTCAGATGGTTAACTTGATAAAAGTTTATAAAATAAACAAACAAACAAACAAATAAATAAATAAACCTGATTCTGGAAATAAAGAAAAAAATTAAAATAGGATGGAAGGGAACAGGGAAAAGAAAGAATTGAGATATATATATATAACATATATGTGTACCAGTCCCTTAAAATGAATGCAATCATGCATTGTAAACATATAGTAATACATTTTTTTAAAGATGGTTACAGTATATATTTCAGCAAATTACCCATGATATTGGTTAAAGCTGTTAAAATACTAACATTTGTTGAGACTGGCTGATTAATATTGGATGGCTTCATAGACTATCCTTTTTATTTTTTATTTTTACTTTTGAAATGGAATCTTGCTGCGTAGTTCATGCTGGGCTAGATTTTACTATGGCAATCTTCCTGCCTCGGCCTCTTTAGTGCCAGGATTACAGACATAGGCCACCACCGCAGGTATTACTATTGTACTTTTGTAGATGTACTGAAACTTCTTTGATAGATGATGGTGAACACAATACAGAAAATAAAACAGCTCTTTTCGAGATCAGCTTTCCTGCTCATGTTTTTTCTCCCCAGCCCGGCTCAGCCCGACAGCACCTATATGTGAAAAACATGTGTCTGAGGCAGGTAGCCTGGCAGCGCTCGCACTTGGCCCCTGCCTCCTCCCGTGGCCATGTCCTTCCTGACGGACCCAGGAAATTCCTCATCTTTTATTTCTATCAGACACATATGAATCTTTACAAAGGTATTTCTGCCTTTCTTTGGTGGCGGATTTAGAAGGGAGTACTGGATGGGGTGTCGAATTTTTTTTTTTTTTGGCCTGGAAGGATCCCTTCCTACCCTCACTTGGTATGACCAAACCCTCCTGACTCCAAGTGGAACCAAGTGCTCATGGTGCCTCCCGCGCCTGGTCCTAGGGTAGGTGCATAACCAGGGTCTGGCCACACATGCACTCTATCTAAGGCAATAATGAGCCCTCATGGATAGACACATGACCTGAGTCAAGTCAATTAAAATTCTTCCCTCCAAACCTATTTATAGATAGTAGAAGCAAGTGGGCATCTGTCTCCCTTGGGATTACTGGCTGAGATGACTGAATCTGGAACTGTCCCTGGGTGGCTCTGCAGCCCAATCTCTCTGCCAGCCTAGAGGAAACTTACATGCATTAGCCAAGAACAGGGACGACACACAGAAACACAGAGAGACAGCAGGAGCAAAAATGAGAGTAAGTATCAGGAAGACAAAGAGTCCCTGCTTGGTCAAATTTTAGTCAGGTTGCTGAAACTTCTAGGTCTATCTGTGTACCCATGTTTTAGTGAAGAGCCCTGCTGAGTCAGGTTAGCAAGAACCCCCTCCCCCCCAGCCTGGATATCTGATCATGTTCCATATCTGGATCAGATCCCTTATCCTCTGCAAAGACGTCCTGATGATGTCTGATTGTCCTGGCTTGTCTGCAGGAGGAATCCTGTTAGGTCAGTTTTGCCAGAGTCCCTCTCATTTCTGAGATTTCTTCCTAGTAATTTTCCATTCATGGACCCCCACCCTGTTCCCTGGCTATAAATTCACACATGCTGCTATATTTAGAATTGAGCTCAATTTTTCTCCCTAAATGAAATACCCTGTAGCATATTCCTTGTAATTACTGCAGTTGTCCTGAATAAAGTCTCCTTATAATGCTTTAACAAGTAGCTGTGAATAATTTTTTTGTTTGACAAGAGGGAAATGTCGATTATGATTTAATTGCTATACTAAGTCATTCAGACCCAGTCTGAAGTCCATGAACTTTTCTCTATCTGAAGATAGGAATCACTATGTTTGCTTGACTTGGTTTTTATTTTACTTAAAGTTCTTGATTGGGTTTGATCCCCAGTACTGCTAAACCAAAACAGAGAGAGAGAGAGAGAGAGAGAGAGAGAGAGAGAGAGAGAGAGAGATTGAAAGAAGAATGACTCCTCTTTAGTAAGCTCTTTAGTCATAGTTTCCCTGACTTCCTGGTGTATTGGTATTGAACTACAACCCCCACCCTTTTTTATTTTTATATTTCTATTTTGAGAAACTTCTTTCTAAATCTCTAAATTGCCCAGACTGGGCTCAAGCTTCTAAATCTCCTGCCTCAACCTCCTAGAGTGCTGGGGTTACAGTAATGTGCCTTCTATCCTTCATGTTCTACTTCATGGAAATCTCTCAAGACGACTGCTGGGTAAATTATAGGATCTTTATTATCAACACTTTTCTATAAAAACCATCATTTTTACAGCTAGAAACATCTTCCAACACACAGATTCCTACGGCAGTTAAAAACCAAATCAAATGAAACCAAAAAGCCTGTCATACATACCACAATGGGCTTACCACAAGGCACCAGTCATTTTATCGTGTATCAGGCACTTCTTACAGAATTTTCTGTGATTCTGATGTCCATGCACATTCTGTATTGAGGCAGAGGTGATATGTAGTCTGGCAGCTATTTATCAGGGAGGCAGGGAAAGATGTGCCAGTATAATTAATGAGAGTCATCCCTCAGAAAGTGAGGAGGGTGGGGGTTGGGAAAGATGTCTTTCACCAGTCAATGGCATTTAAGAAAAATTGGTGCTTTCTTAGGCCTTTTACTGCTGGAAGGACGTTAAATCTAAATACTGCTGTAAAGGGCTTTCTATTATTACTTTATAGATAGGGGTCCTGTGCAGGGGGAAGCAGGGAGGATTCAACCCAAGACTTGTTTGCAAGGCTGAATTGAGCTATCAGCAGGAGTCCCCTTACCCACAGAAAAGTAGTAAATCCTTACTAGGAGATTACAGCTTGTGCAACCAGGGGACCATCCAGGAAAAGTAGTTTACTACCAGAAAGGATATTTAAAAAAAAAAAAAAAAAACTTTTAGAAGACCTCCCATTCTCTCCAATTCTCCTTTAACCAGAGAAGGGAGGGGGATAGTATTTGTTTTTTTGTTGACTCTTTGGTAACCATGGGAGGGTTCATGTGACCTAGAGAGGCTATTTACTACCCACTAACTCCTTTGTTATTATCCCCTCTGATTGTCACAAACGGGAAAACAGTTGTCCTGCTTCCAAAAACTGAGCAATGTAGAAACATTGTTTTGTTTTTAGTCAGTGATCTTTCTTTGATTAATGGTGTTTTGAAAAAAGACTTGAGGGAAAGCTGTATTAAAAGATCATGGATATATCATATGTCCTGAACATTTTAGAACCCTCTACCCCCGCTTTGGGAAAGGGAGAAGATAGGAAGGGCCAGGTAATGGGGTATATCTGTAATGTTTTATTTTAAAAGGTGGAGGGTAGGGGAGCAGAGCATTGAATAATTTATGCTCTGTTTTTGTCAAGAGCCCTGCTGAGTCAATTTAGCAAGAACCCCCCAGCCTGGATATCTGATCATGTTCCATATCTGGATCAGATCCTTATCCTCTGTAAAGATGTCCTGATGATGTCTGATTGTCCTTGCTTGAAATATTGCATAATTTAAAAATTCAAGTGTTTGGGCCAGGGGTTTAGCTCAGCGGCATAAGTGCCTGCTTGGCAAATGCAAGGTTGTGAGTTCAATCCCCAGCACCAAAAACAAACAAGCAAATTTAAGTGTTTGTAATGCTATGGAAATTAATTAAAACGATGGAAATCAAGAATGCATAGCATACAAGTGCTTTCATTATGCACTGTGTCTGAATTTATTTCAACATGTGCATCTGCATTTTTTCGGTTCTAAAAAGATAAGCACAAGAAACTGGGGAGGGCAAATAACTGGTGGATGAGGGCTCACCTTGAAACATTTTTCCTTTTTGGCTTTTCTGTTCACCGTGCAGATAACCAGCAAAACAAATATCTGGAAAGCACTTGTCTCCACGACAGAACGAAATGTAGAGCCAGAGATTTATGTATCTATTTATTGTGCTGGGAATTGAACCCAGTACTTAGAAGCATGCTAAACAGCTACACCCCAACCCTACTTAACTTCTTTTAAATTAGGGGTTTGTGCGTGGCCATGTTTTAAAAAAAGAAAGTAAAGTGATATTTGGGGCACTTTCTATGGGGCCAAAAGATCGTATATATTTTTTTCTAAATTGAGTTTTTTCTAGTACTCTGGCTTGAAGAAATTCAAGTGTCGATTCTTGTTTCTGAAAGTCCAGGATTGCTTTCAGGATAAAGTTTCTTCTTGCCCATGGTGCTTTGCTGTGACATTGTAATTGCTTCTGTTCAATTGAATAGTACAAATGGGTTGTTTCTATGGTATCGGCTAAGTGGGATGAAAAGGTGAAACCCTAGATCTCGCCCTGAGAGATCGCAGCGCAACCGCCCCCCGCCCCCAACTGTCTGTCAAAGTGGAAGGACGGTCTGGCCGGCTCTTCTGTCTCAGGTACTCATTTGTAACTTCCTGAGCAGAGTCACGCATGAAAAAAAGAAAATGACTTCGGGTTGCCACTGTGCCCAGAAGGTCTTTGCCAAGCCCATCCCAGCCAGCTTTCCCAAGTCTTCTTATTGGAGGAGAATTTTAAATTGAAAGGTGAGTGAGGAGCAGCGTCCTCAGTCCCTCCCAGCTAGGCTTTGAACTAACAATAGCAGGTTGAATGAAGTCTGATAAACGCAAATCCTGGACTCGCAAAGCCGGATCACACTGCGGCAGCCTAAGCCGGCGGTGATTAGCGTTCCAGCTTTTATCAGTCCCCAGCTGGTCTAACCAAGTTAGGGCGTTCAGTAGATTTCATCAACATTTGAACGCCTGTTCGTGCAAGTTTTTCTCCGCAACATAGGCCCTTATTCACCTCGAGCAGGTTGGTGCTCCGGTCTGCCAGCTACTAAACTGATCTGATTATTCGGCCTGTTAATGCCAGGGAGGGACACTTCGACAAACAGATTAGAGGATACATAAAAAGTGTATCACAGCTCCTCTATTTTTTAAACAAGAGAGTCCCTTGCTTTAGCAGCACTAACACGCTATTTTCTTAGGATGGCAAAGAAAAAACAAAAACAAAAGCAAAAATACTGGCAGGAGAGATAAGCTGGGTGGTTAGGGATTTTCTTTTAACTGTGGTTCTCCCACTGTAAAAAACGCTTACATTGCGGTTTTTTCCCCCCTTAAAAACACCAGCGCACGGGGTCCTCCACCACTTTGACTCGGGGTGCATACAGTTCCCGGCGCCCTTCACCTCCAACTTTGATTCTGCAGGTCCTGTACTCCTCCCACCCCCTCAACTCCCACCCCCGCCGCCGAGGCTCTCCAGCCTGCTGCCCCAAACCCCGCAACAAGGAGCGGTCCTTGGATTGGGGAGTCTTTGAAAAGTGGCGGGGCGGGGGGTGGTGGAGACTATATACTTCAGCCCCAGAGTTTCTGGTCCTTATCCGCCCGGAAGCCCCGAAGGAGCGTGTGGGCAGAGCGTCCAGGCTCACCTAGCCTGCGGTTGCTCCGGTCCGCTCCCCCAGGCTCCAGTTCCTGATTTCCTTAGGAGCTGCGGGCCCCGGAGGGAGGGGGCTCCAGTGTGAGCGTGAGGATTTGAATGAGAAAGCAGGTTGTGGAGGAGGCTTTTCCCAGCTCCTCTTGGGGGTCCTGCGGGCTGGTGGAGAGAAGCCCCCATCTGGGAGGCCACTGCTGGTTCTCGGCAGGGGTCTGGAGTTGGAGTCAAAGGGGTCTTGTAACTCAAAGCTCTGCACTTGGGAGGACTTCGAGGATTCCGGCATCTGCCGAATACTCCGGGCTGAGGTCGGTGCTTTGGGGGAAAGAGGACCGAAGGGAAAAGGGGTTGTGCAGGAAACAGAGGACTGGTTAACCAGCTCACTTAACCAGTGAGCAGGTAGCCTGCGCCCTCTCTAGGGTGTCCCATTCGGGACTCTGGGTGGACTGCGGGAGCCTTGTGCGTGGGAATCTCCCGGGCCCCGCGAGGAGACTGGACCACGACTGCTAGCGGGGTCCTGGAGCGTGCGGGTTGGTGTGCCTGGTCAAGAGCTGCACTTGTGTCCCACTTAGTCGCGGGTGAGGTTTCGCCAGTGGAGGGTCAGTCACCGTGGCAGGATGCTTCGCGCCCTCTCCGACTGCCAGGCTCTCCCGTGAGAGCAGGTCCGTGTTTCCTGCAGAGGGGAGTGCGATATCCATTACATTCGGGGAGTCTTAGGTGACCAGTGATCCTGCTCAGAACCCTCTCAAAGAAGAGTTGTTGCTCGGTGCGGGGAGGATTTGCTCCATTGCCCCTTCCTGGGATCAACGAGGGGCACCGCGCAACGCCGGGTGGTGCAAGCGAGCTGGTGAAAGCAAGTCCTAGCTACGGCTGCGCGCTCTGCGCCTGCGCGGGTTCCCATGGCGACGGCGCGGTGGGTCCGAGACGCCGACCCAGCAAGCAAAAGCCGGGTCTTCTGCTGGACTCCTGCGGTGGCCCCTTACACTTTGCTGGGACGTTTTCATTTTGTTTGTGCCTTGGAGTCAACTTATGATCTTGTTGCGTTAGAAGTTCAGCACTAAAATAAGAGGTCACTTGACTAAAAAAACCGAAATTAAACCTTTCCCCACCCTTATTATCATTTTATCACAGATAGAAAAAAAAGGTGAGAAATTGCCTGTTGTGGTGGTAATGTAGGTATCCTACATTTTATCCCATGAAAGTGCAGAGAAATAAAACGTTTGCTTCCTGCTATGGAGTGTTTAAAAATAAACTCAGCCAGGGGATTGGCCTGGAGGTACAGTAACAGACCTGTGCCTCTGTCTGGAGGTGGGGAGGAGCATGTACCGCCCAGAAGTCCCGAGTCCTCGCGACACTGATGGCTACCTGTGCTCTGCCGGACCGGAGGAAAGTACGGGTGAATGGAAACATAGGCCTTCCCCGAAGAGGCGTTGCTTTTCCAACTGTCTCTACGTATGGCAATTGCTGGGGCTAAGCTGTTCTGCAGAGAGAGAATGTTTCTTTCAAGAAGCTGGTCATAGACCAGTTTTCTTAAGCATTTTCATCTTAAAATTGTGAGTCTTGACAGGCCCACCCTCTCTTTTAAATCCCATTTGTTTACACACAGGCAGGCACTGGCAAGAGTACACATCTTAAGGAGTTATGTAGTGGCATCTGTAGCTTGTTGTTGCTTAGTTTTTTAAAAGACTGAATCAATATTTGGTAGAGTGATACTTGAGACTTACTTACCATTACATAAACATTGATTAGAGTTAACATAACTGCTAATAAAAGTTTAAAATGTGATTACTTTTCCCAGAACAAAGTGTAGCGTAAAAAATCTTGCACAAAGTGACATGGGTACTCTATATCTTACTTTTAAGCAACTTGCTTTATAGAATAGCAAGTGTTAGTTAATGGTAGAAAGTTGAAGATAATAGTCTTCTACCATCAGCTAATGAAGTAGCATACTACTTTTCAAATAATTAGCAAATAACATATTGCTAAAGTTCTCATTCTTTTTGTCACACATTCCTAGATGTTGTGTAATTTATCTTGTTCAAATATTAAGGTTCTCATGTTTTCCTTTTTTTATTAAAAAATAGAAAACTTAATTATTGGGTTCAGATTCTTTGTGACCCTGTTTGGTGGCTTATAACAGGCTCAGAATCCCTAATCCCTAATGTTTCTGCTGGTTCTGGGAGGTAAAAATGCAGATTATGGGATGAGGAGACTGGGAGCACTTGGGGAGTCTGGGAGAGGCATTGGGAGGGAGACAAAGGGAGGAAAGGTTGGGGAGAGCTGGGATTTTTGTTGTATCAGTTTCATGTTAAAATTCATTAAAACTTACTGCTTTTGTTTGATACATTTTCCTACATCATCAATTTCAGTTTCTTTATGTCAGTCTTTTATGTACTTATGGGGATAGAATTATAAAAGTAGAATGTAATAAAAGGTGCTTCATGGTAGGATGCCATAACATAAAATACTGTGAAAATTTTTAATGAAATGTTTTATATTTAGTTTATTCATTTTTCCACAAATATTTATTGAGAATTTATATGTAAGGCAGCATAAATAAATTCAAATTCCTGCCCACAGACAAGAGTTCTGAGTTCTAAAATAATTCTAATACTACTTTGGTTTTCTGGTTGAAGATACTATTTTTAGTACTCTTAAGAGAATACTTGGTCCTACTCAGACTTCCAAATTCAGAAACAAATGCTTACTTTTTGGTTAAAAAA